CTAAGATTTGTTCAGTTCAATGTATTAGTCACAGTTGTTATAGCATACAAAATTTAAAATGACTACATTTTTTTTCTTTTTAATTATAGCTTATGGAAACATCAGGTACAGACATGCTGAATGATGCAGATACCCGTGCTCCAATAAGTCCATTGCATTTAGCGGTAAGGGTTAACAATTTGTACATAAGACTGAGGGAAATTGATCTACAAAGCACTTGCAATTGGTGAATATGTCTGTGCCGATTTGTAGAGAATTGCAAAATTCTCCAGTCATGCCAAATGAGATTCATAAATTGTGAGGTTTTTTGCTGAATGGGCAGTTTGTCACACTGCCTTCTGTATGCATATATAACAAAATATTACATGCCGAGCTAATGCCTTTTTTTTGGCTGTCAGCCGGTTATGCATTCAACATTTACAAGGTTTTTCAAGCCATGTTTAACAATAAAAGTTGTATATTTTTCTTTCAGGCTTACCATGGGCACCACCAAGCATTAGAGGTGCTAGTACAATCTTTGCTTGACTTGGATGTCAGGAACAGCACTGGAAGGACTCCTCTGGACCTGGCTGCTTTCAAAGGACATGTTGAATGTGTAGATGTTCTCATCAACCAAGGAGCATCAATATTAGTAAAGGACTATGTTGTGAAAAGGACTCCTATTCATTCAGCAGGTATGGCAGATGTCAGGGAGCTAAAAGTGAACCTGTGCTTTGCACATGCAGATCACAGCAACAAGTTCAGTTTGTGTACTTATTCTTGTATATACTTCACTTCAATCCCCTGTGGCCCTGTGTGGCCTGAGATGACTCATTAACCTGGTACATCCAGATATGGGGGAGCATGCGAGTTTCTTCCCTTCTCACATTGCAACTAGTTGCCAGGTACCAGCCATGTCACTTGGGGATGGGAAGAGAATCCTTAGCGTGATGTAAGCTCCATCCAGAGATTTGAAGCGTTTTCTCTTTTCTTTTGTCGGCAAACAGATTGGTAGAAGAAAGAAGGAAAAGTAATTATAATCAGTATGGAGGACAAGCATTAATATTAACTGTGTGGTCCAAGTACAGGGTCAGTTTAAAGTAACTTTGAGAAATAACATAATCTAAAGAACATGTTTACAGTGCTGACTGTACTTGTGTTACTGTGATGGTGCTGCCACGTTTAGATTCAACTTAAACATCTACATTCTTGCTGGCAAGATTAGGATAAGACTTCTGACATGAGTTGCAGACATTTATGTTTAAAGCAGTCTGCTTTCTAGATTTTGTTGTGCACGGACTATCCCAGTCACTGCTATCTGGGCAAATTTTTACTCCCTTCTCACACGTCTCTAGGCCATCCTGCAGTGGTTTTTTTAAAAACATTTGAAGCAAGATGTACTCTTAGTACATGGCCTGGGTCCTTGCCAGTGCCATTTCTGGGTGCAGGGGACTGCTAATCCAGCCCCACAGATGTACCCGCCCGACTTGTCCCTATTGTGTTGACGTTAACTTCACTTCTGGACCCCGAGTGGATGCTGCCACTGGGCAACCAATGGGAAGTGTCCACATCATGCAGGCAGATATGTGGACACTCGAAGAGGAGCCCCACCTCCTGTAAACAGAAGACTCGTGACTGTAGTGTCACGTGACCATAGAGTCTCATTACTGCAGCTTTAAGTGAGTAAAAGGAACTTTAATATAGGTTATTTTTCTGTCATTCCAGCAATCAGGGGTGTGTGTGCATGTGGTAGGGGGAACCCGGAGATCACCTTTAAATATTTGATATAAACAATTGGTAATATTTAGTTTATTGAAGAGCGTGCAGTTAACGCTTAATTTGTATTCCCTTATTTGTACTTAAGTGATGAGTTGTTGTTTTGTTTTTGTTCCCCTTCCCCCTTAGCAATCAATGGGCATTCAGAGTGTTTGAGACTCCTGATTGGAAATGCGGATATTCAGGCTGCAGTGGATATTCATGATGGAAATGGACAGTAAGTGCATGCTTTACTGCTGCAGGAAGGGCATAACTATAAATTACTGTACAGAATTGTGAAATGTTATGTCATCCCATGAATTCTAATAAGCCTAATACATAGACGTCAAATCTTTGTCCATCAATACGAGTAAAGAATTATACAATTGTACCCTGATGATGGTGACAAATAGCCACAGTACCCCAGAAATGTGAAATTAGCATAGGTGGAAGCACAAACATGGTAACGATGTCACTTCATCACTTAGGGGGTAATTTATAACGAAGAGCGGATATCGCAATCCTCTTTGTTTATACACTGCTGCACTACGCACACCGCCGTCCATCCCGTTCATAAAAATCAGGCCATGGTGTGATGGGTTATTTCTGCTTAATGGAACAGAGAGCTATGCTTTTGGAGGAGAGCCAGTCTTGTGACTTTGACCGGTCACATGACTGAGCTCTCCTGGCTTTTTTAGAAAACGTCTTTTCATTTTTATTGTGCTTCATTGTCTTGAAACCGCCGGCACGTAGAGCACATTTGTAAAGTACATAGTGGCGCATTATAAATGTGCATGTTTCTAGCCATCCTGCTGTTTTTAAAATGAGCTACAAATTCCTTAGTGGAGATAGAACACCAATACTTGTGTAGAGTTTTCACAAAGACGATATTTGAATAGATAGCGAGATTTAGGGTTAGAACTTTTCGGATTTCGAAAACCGTATTTCTCTTTTCCTCCCCAGTCTTCTCACAGTGGGCATGTTAACTAAGGGCAGGTTACTAGCTCTCCTTTTACTTCCTGCAACTCTGGCACATGTGACTAGGACATGTGACCATGCACATCTCAGGGGAGGAAAATGCCTTTCCCTGAGATCTCATGACATTACAGATGAGATTTCCCAGCAATGCTCTGCTGATGTAACCTTCCCCGGATGCAACACTTGGGCACATTACATTTGTGCCAGAAGTAGATGAACTTTATTTGTAAGTAAATGAAACACACGTTTGTTTAATGAATGTAAGATGATTTTAAATCGGCATGCAGAGCTGCGTGCTGATGTGATCTATAGTGAAAGGGGGTAAAGGTCTGTTTTAACATGGCTTACTTTTTTCAATTGGAGGACACAATAGAAAGTATACCCAGGTTGTAGCAAAATGATTAAAGTTCACTTTGCTCTAGGTCCATCTTTTCCTTTTCCAAACAGGATGGCAATGATCACTGGAGGAAGGCAGTATAGACCCAATAATGCATATGTCAGAAAAGGATTGATTGCAGAACTTGGTTATTCCCTAATCGTTAAATGTGAGATGTGTTTATAGAGATTGACAGCTGTCACATTCCTATTTTCCCATTTTATCCTAATTTCTTCATGTGTTATCTTCATAAGTTCCAATGCAAGTAGAATGGGGAAGTGTTAGTAGCGGTAGAAGGAAGAGGAATACTAGACTGGGGGAATCTCTCAATTGGGACACAGACAGACATCAAAAACCTTTTAACGGTTCTGAATCTACAAAAAAAGTTTAATTTCCATGCCTCAACTCCTCAGTAGGCCTACAGACAGCATTAAAAAACCTTTCTCACTCAATTTGAATGTGAACTAACAGATTTGGCTGAACATATGCTCCGTTTTGCCAAAAGAACACTAAAGTAATACGGCTATTATTCTGCTTTGTAAATCTAGCATATTTCACTTTGATTTTTTTATTAATTTTATCTACGCAGAGCTGTTTCAATATGCCTCAATTTTTATCCTACATAAAATATCTCAAGGTCCAAATCAGTCTGAGCTCTTTCCGCATAATTTCAGAATATGCCCCTGATTTTATAGCCCACTGTATTCATTTGGTGACCTGTCTGGCTGAACATTCCGTGTTGTAAATCTGCATTGCACTTCTGGTTTCTGCCTAAGTGCATAGCTGGATACCAGCCATAAGGGAATATTGCTCTGCTGACTGCTTCACTTTCCAGTAAAACCCATGCCTTCCTCTGCTTTCTGCCTTGTATTGCTTAGGACTCCGTTGATGCTCTCTGTCCTGAATGGACATACAGAGTGTGTTTATTCGTTGCTGAACAAAGGAGCCAATGTGGATGCCAAAGATAAATGGGGAAGAACTGCACTGCACCGAGGGGTAAGGCTTTGCTATTCTTTAATCTTTTTCTGTTTTTGGTTTTCTGCAACTGCACAGAACACCAGTGCACACCCTGCGCCCAAGTCTGTGTTAAACTTTATTGCTTGCAAGTTGATTGTCAAGTAAGCAGTGGATAATGGACGAGAATCAATGATCTTTAAATATGTCCATTATAGCCAGTATATGGTGTTTTTCATATAGCTGAGATACAGATGAGAATTTTAACTGCAGTTCTGTTACAGCAAGCTAGCCTTTGGTATGAAGACAATACAATAGTACTGTTATCACCTTACCATGTACAGAGTTCAATTTAAATTAGAAGACTGGGTGCACTTAATTTCACCTTACTCGGGAGACATTGTGAATTGAATTATTTTATATATAAATGCTAATTTGTGATTTAAAGAGATATATATAGATATAGAGAGAGATGTTTCTGCATCCAAAACAGTTTAGCAAATAAGATGATTTCTTGAGTGACAAAGATAACGTAAGCTATTTTTGTTTGCTTTTATTTCTCATTAATCACAATTGTAATTTTTTACATTTTAAACAAGCTCATGTTTGGAAATGCTGTTACGAGGTGCCATTTTTATATTTACAACTTTACTGTAAGTGGATAACCTAGTGCACAGTTTTTGTAAAATGTGCAATGCTTTTCATATTGGTTAGTTTGTATTAATCAGCATCAACAAATTTATCTTTGACTTGGTTTTTGTAATTCAGTTTCACATTGTTTTTACCCTTTGTCTTGATTTTTTTTTCTTTTATGTCTTTTATCTAGGCAGTGACTGGGCATGAGGAGTGTGTGGAGGCATTGCTACAACACAATGCAAATTTCCTACTGCGGGACTGCAGAGGAAGGACACCCATACATTTAGCTGCAGCATGTGGACATATAGGAGTTCTAGGTACTCTTTTGCATACTGCGTCCTCTGTAGATGTTGTTCCTGCAATAGCTGACAATCATGGATACACATCTCTTCACTGGGCTTGTTATAACGGTAAGCAGTTTCTGTTCAGACATTTCTAGTAGTTTGTTCTTCTATGTCCTAACTACTTGCGTAAACATTTTTTAAAAATTTTATTAAAAGTGTGAAATTCCTGTTCATCCTGCCAATTTGCTTGTCCTCAATACATGTGACGACACTATCTGCAGAGACTCTTCCTTTTACGCATAGTCGCACGTTCCTGCTTTGTATTTTAGCAAAGAGCTCTCCTCCTTTGTGTGTGAGAGGCTGTGGGCAGTTCTGCACAGAGCCCCACTATAATGCAATAGAATAGCATTACAGCAGCATTCTGTACTTTGTTAGGCTGGACAACAACATGGCATAATGTACTGCTGCTTTTGGTGCCACCCAAAAAAAATAAAAATAGGTATCTGTTATTTTTTACAAGCAACCTGGATTGCAGTTGTGCATTTATGGTATAAACATTATGCAATGTTGGGGGGGACCTTTACAGATCATAAGTTTGCATTATTTACTACTCGCTAATGTATACAGTTCTGCAGGTCAGTTGACCATCTCTACTTACAACTTATGTATGTGGTTTGCTACTAAGTGAACATCATTTATCAGTTGATGGCTGAGTCTCTTATTGAAAATATGAGCTGTCCATTAAGAATTGAGTCACTGCACTGATCAAGTTAGTTTTGTGTGTAAATTTCAGCTTAATCTATTGACCTCTGTGAACAGGTGTTTTTTTTTTCCCCCCTTTGACGACAGGACCGATATACACGCATTTTTCCCCATTGCATGGGCGCACGCAGTCTTAACGCTTGACGTCTTTGGTATCTGTTTACTTAAAATAACCAAATTTTTTATATTTTACCAAAAAAAGTATTTAAATTGTGTTTGTGTGCACTAAAATATATTTTCCCCCCTAAAAATATGGATTTAATAAAGATTTGCGCAAATATCGTACGACATTAAAAAAAATGCAGCTACCACTTTTTAATTCTACTGGGCCTCTGCTTTCAGAAAGTATATACTTTGGGGTTTAAAAGTAATTTTCGATCCAAAAATCTAGAATGTACTAAGTGTGTGCAAAAATTGCTCCGGTACTACGGTGGTTAAAATTAAACTAGAAAGCACATGAAAAGGAACCCTTTGTTCATGCTAAATAGTTTAAAAAGAAAAAAAAGTAAACAATGTGATGCGCTGAACCGGTCAAACCACACTAGCCCACCCGCTAAAACAGTTTTGGCGGGCTAGTGTGAAAGAGCCCTTTACAGTTCCTCCTGATAGTCCGCACCTTCTCCCCAGCATGTTATTGTCACCCATCCTTGTTACCTCATCGCCTGCCCGCTGCAGGCTTTCACACTGGGTAAGCTCCAGTTTTTAATTGTGTCATTGGCAAACATAGGTGGACAACACTAACCCTACAAAACACAAAGTCCCCAGCACACCTGCCAGCTAACCTGCAACAAAACAAGTAGCCCTGTCAACAGTATGCGTTAAAAGCAGAGGTTTTAGTTGCACAAACCTTTGGCCAAAAATATGTAGAAGCCACACGGCCCCGTCAAGGCACCTCTGCAAAGTGTGGTCCTAACTGTATTTGTATGAGTCTCCAAGTGGGGGCATATCCATGCAGTCCATAAATTAAATGCAGGTGTACCTGGAGGCAGCCTACTCCTCAAAAGGTGCAGGGACGCAATGGATGCCCAGCAACCAAAAATGCACGCTGGGACCCCCCAGTGTAGTGTGCCCCCACATCAAAAATAGTCAAACTAGAAAAAGATGGTAACCGCATACATTAATAACCAGCCTTGGTAGCAGGGTGGACATGGGAAGGTTTACAACAATACAAAACAAAAAAAGTCCCCGGCACAACACTAACCCACCTTGTGACTGTGTTCGGTCATGGCGATTGGCTCTTCAGTTCCCACTGGTGAGATCATATGCTCCTCTATACCAGAAAATCCTGTTCTGTTACAGCAATAGAGCTGGATGGAGTTGAGGGATATGGATGGGTGTACACCTTGCAATGGGGATGGGCTTAATAGCGGCAGTGTCTCTTTAAGTGCATTCGGCAAAGACTCTAAAATGTTAAATACTGTATATTAATATTAAGTACTTAATCTATAAGTACTATTATAGATATGTATTTTGGCTCCCTTGACTTACAATCTTCTGTTGTTAACACCTGCTGTTCTATAACAGGTCACGATGCCTGTGTAGAGTTGCTGTTGGAGCAAGAAGTGTTTCAAAGAATGGAAGGAAACTCATTCAGTCCTCTGCATTGTGCAGTGTAAGACCATCCCTTTTACATGTTTGTATTTTGTATACATCCATAACTGTATGTGTGCAATAACCTCTTTCTCTTGTCCTTTCTGTAGCATAAATGACAATGAAGGCGCTGCAGAAATGCTCATAGACACATTAGGTACAAGCATTGTGAATTCAGTGGACTCAAAAGGAAGGTAAACACCAACAGAATAATCACTGCTTTAACATTTATTGTTGTCTGTGGGCCACACTGATATTTTGCTTTTATTAGAAGAAAATTAAAGTATGTATACCCTAACAATGTACTCCTTGTATTTGCTTCCTTTTGGCCTGTTAAATATACCATTAAATGCGTTTTGTTATATCTGTTCAGTAAGTACGACAAATACCCATTGATTCTGCCAGAAATCCAGTGAGCTGGTAACTCTGCTCTTTGCTGTTATCAGGTAGTGTTCACAGTTTTTTTTCTGTTGACTATAAAATACCTCCCCCTATGTTTTGAACAAGAGGAGGGACTAGGCATTCTGCAGTCCTGTCTTAGCATGACAACGCTGCTTCTTCATAGATACAGTATGCAAGTGTTGTCACCTTAGAACAGGAATTATGTTACTGACAGGACTAGCAGGTCTAAATAAAGGGGGGGACGACAAGAAAACGAATGCAGCCTCCACATCCAAGGACAGGTAAGCTTTTTTTTTTTATATATTAGTTGTGCACTTGGGTTTAAATGCACTTTAACAGTTATCACTTATTGGCACTACATTTCAAAAACGGGTGCAGAAGTACACAAGTTAACTTTAGCAACCAGTCCAGCTTCATTTTTTAAATAAAGCGTTGAATCTGTTTGCTTATGTAAAACTGCATGAATTCTCTTTGCTGCTGTATTTGTAAATCTGTACCATTATTCTGTACTGACATCAGTGTAGTTCTAAAAAAAAAAAAGGAAATTAAAAATAAAGTGTGCTCTGTCACACTTGGTTATGCCTGCAGTCTGCAAAACCTGCCCATTGTAAGTTTGTCTAAACATATGAAATATTAGAAGTGTCACTCAAAGCCTTTACTATTATATCTTATTTTCACAGGACGCCCCTTCATGCTGCAGCTTTTACAGACCATGTTGAATGTTTGCAGCTTTTGCTCAGCCATAACGCCCAGGTAAATGCTGTGGATTCTTCTGGAAAGACACCACTAATGATGGCTGCTGAAAATGGACAAACTAATGCAGTAGGTAAGGCAGACCGCGATTCACTGTTGTGAACATATTTGTCATTGGAAAGAAATGTTCGCTTGTTAACTTTCATAATTTTCTAATGAAACTTGTTCTAAGAACGTATGCAATCTTCATGCTAGTCTTTCTGATAAATCGACTGAACATTAACTATGCAGCATCAAGGCAAATGAAAGAAGTCAATCAACACTTTTAGGGGGAGAAGGCTAGATTAACATGTGAATAAGATGCTTACATGCCTTTCTCCTGATGAGAATTCTCATTGACTGACTGGTTTGTTCTCTGTTGGCTAGAATTTTTAAAGTAAGCTTGTAGGCTATGCTTTCCTTCGTTTTACACCCACATCCCCTTGTTTTGGTCGCCAGAAGTGGAAAGCAAATCCCTTTTGTAAGCTACAAGTCGCTGGAGATGTAGCTTACACAAGGTGTGACAACACTGATTGGCCCAGTGCTTTCACATAGCGGAGTCGCATGCTCCTACGTTCCAAGAAGTACCAGGTATTTCTTCAGCTCCCAATGCTGACTGAAGTTGTGGGGGAGGGAAGGAAGGGTAGGTATTTGCTGCTGGGGATGAAGTTGTTACTTAATCATAGGCTTACTTTAAATGTATTACATTACATTTTTGCAGTCAACTTGGCGAACACCCCAACCCCACACAACACACCTAAATAATTTTTATTCTAACAAAATATTTCTAGTCGTTTCTTAGGTTAATAAATAGGAGTGCAAACTATAGAGAACAATTTTAAAGTGCGATCACAGGCATAAAATGAGGAACAAACCAGGGGACATTGCTATAACATACTATGGAGCAACCAAGATCTTTAACTCTTAGGACAGACCGGGTTTTAACCTGATAGTGAGATCTGCCAACAGTACAGACAGGGTTAATTATGATAACTTCCCATCCCCCTATTTAATATTACATAGGGAAAAGGGTAGGTAGAATTTATTAAATATCTTTAAGTAATGCTGTGTGGATGGGGACATGTAACAAATATAAATTAGGTTTTCTCCCAGTTTGGGTGCAAAAGTGGAAATGTATTGCTAACCTGCAGAACAAAAACACATTTCATTCAGTTATTCGTACATTTAAAATGTATTTTTACATATAACTGCAATAAGTACCTGTATCTGTGAAATGTGCAATAAACTCAGTGGGGGGAATTTATCAAAACTGGAGCAAACAGAATCTGAAACAGTTCCCCATGGCAACCAACCAACATCTCTAGAAGCTGATTGGCTGCAGTGCAAATCTGCTCCATATTTTGTCCCAGTTCTGATAAATTCCCCCCAGTGTGCTTCTTTATTTCCAGTTAGCGGGGAGAGCTGGTCTTCAAAGTGCATTGTCTAACTGCAGTGGTAAAAACTCAGGTCACTGACCTAGCTATGCAGTTTGTCAGGGGCTTCTAGATCACAAAAGTGAAGGATCAAAAGAAACCCCTCCATCAATGCAAAAATATGTTAAAGATTACATTTCTCTCAGGAACATCCTGGTACAGTGGGACAAGTCCCCCCTGTCCTTGGACAGGGAGATTCGGATCTCTCGGGAGGCGAGGACCTCCCTGCGGTGGTGGCTTCACTCCCCAACGGGAGAGAAAATAGGATTTTTGTACTCACCGTAAAATCCTTTTCTCTCCGTTCATTGAAGGACACAGGCCCCGCCCTCTTTTATGGGGTGTGCACTCCTAACTGCTTGTTACTTACTGGAGACTTGTCAGCAAGTGAGGGGTTGGGCCACCAGCAGGGGCCGCCCCTAGGCTGTCTTGTCTTTTTGTTATGTGCCTAGCGTCCTACTCCTGCAGGTGGCGATATACCCTACCATTCAGGATCTAGGATCTGTTGCCCTGTGTCCTTCAATGAACGGAGAGAAAAGGATTTTACGGTGAGTACAAAAATCCTATTTTTTAGAGCTCATAAACCTTATTGCACACACAAGTCCCACTTTGAGTCAAAGGCAGCATATTCAAAGTGTTAATATAATGAACACTTCTGAGTTTCATATTTTTATAGTATTGATAACTGCCATTCACTCTTTTTTTTTTTTTTTAAATGTAGTGGGGTTTATATCAAAATTGTAGTGATGTAGGATACTCCCCTTTCCAGCTGTATGTATAGTGGATCTTTTCTTATTTCATCCTTTACAAAAGCTAGTAATGCAAGACATAATGAATTGGGTACAACCTCCTAGAGTGGGAAAGTAATGAGTGGATGTCAAGGGGGTGGAAGTGTTAATTCTCTTTCCTGTGCCCCAGGATGGGAGCTATGAGTACATTAAGGTTTGTGAGCACCAAAAACTCTATCTTATCATATTTTTGCATTGATAGGAGTTTTTTTTAACGGAATATGTTTATTTTGAGGAAGTTTGTAAATTACAATAAACAAAACAGTACAATATAGAAGGCAGGGAGCATATACATCTAGTGCAAAAAGGACGTGGCCACCACCGTCTCTCCCAAGGCACTTCAGTGCAATAATATTGATGTAACACAACATTACAAAACGTTCATATTATGCATTAATAAGCTTGTCTGTAAGCCAGGGAGGACACTGGGCCATTGACAGTGATCTTCACCGCTCCTGCCTGTGATAGTTTTTTTTTTATCCATCATCATGGCAGCTACTGTACTTGGTGATTTCTTTATTAGAGCACTTATGTTTTTGGTGTTTGTGCCTGCAGAGTTTTTCCCACTTTGGTCACAACTGGCTTTGGGTTTTTGTTGATGGGCAAATGCGGTGTGCTTTTAACATCAGTTTGAGACTCTTCTGACATTCAGAATTCGCTCATGCTATTACATTTCCATAGATATGTTTTGCAGAGTGAAGCAAAACAATAGCCTGACAACACAGGCTCTAGGAACTCCCCATATTTACACAGTTATATATAATTATAAGCAATAACTTGTATTGTGTTTTTTTGTTTTTTTTTGTTTTGTCAGTTGCATTAAAATTACATTCTGTTGTCAATCTTTTTCTTTCAGAGGTGTTAGTTAGCAGTGCTAAAGCTGATCTCACATTGCAAGATAACAATAAAAATACTGCACTACATTTGGCATGCAGTAAGGTAAGTCACTAAGAAGCAGCATTTGCCTTCTATAGTCTGATTGTTTTTTCAGTTGCAGGAATAAAAACACTAATTTCATTCCTTACAAAAATTGCCATGATTGTTTGTGTTACCCTGGGTGGGCCATTTTCTGTCAGGAACCACTTGTCAGTTCTCTGTAGTGAAAAATGTAGTTTTTTTGTTTTTTAGGCTGCAAAAAATGGAAAGCTTGGTGTGCAGTACATTTGATAACATAAAACAAGTTCCTATTTGTAAATCATTAGATCTGTTCTCAGTGAAATCTGCACAGACTGAAAGAGAAAAAAAACAACATTGCTTTAGCGTACATAGTATTATTCCAAATTTGTTTGACTTCCATCAACTAAGGAAAAAACTTAATCGAGGGACAGAATCTAATCGCATGAAGGGAGCAGTCTCATTAACAAAAATGCTGTCCAAACACTGGCCACCTGGAATAGCTTTCTTTGATACACGTTAGTTTGAAAATATACAGTATATTCTTTATGTATGGCAGTCGGACGTGGTGTCATAATGTACCAGAGATGAGATGGGAAATTCCCAAATTTGCTTTAAAACATTTAAGGTACGTGTCTGTACTTCTAGCAGTGCCACATCATTTCAGAATTGGATGTCAATTTTTCATTTTTTTTTTTTTGTCCTAGTATGTTTTACTAGAATCTTTTTGCTCCTTTTATAGGGTCATGAAACCAGTGCCTTGTTAATACTAGAGCAAATTACTGACCGGAACCTCATCAATTCAACAAACTCATCTTTGCAGACGTAAGTGGTCAACCAGTACAGCAGAAGATAGGCTCAGTCTGCCTGAAGCACACAATCTTATGATAGCTAAGATCAAAAGGAGACTAGCAGTGTTGTTTTCTAACTGAGGCAGGCTGGTTGCTAGTTGAGGTCTTAGAAATGTTCTGTGTCATAAACCGTAACAGAACTGTGGAAGCAAGCAGTGTGATGCAATTCCCAAATGAAAAATCTCTTTAAAGTCAAAGCTGCAGTCTTACACAATTAGGCTTTTCATTATTGATTTTAGAGGATCCGTTTCTCTTTGAACTTCTGTGGACTTCTATGACATGGATTAGCTTAACACAGGCTCTCATCCATATACAGTAAACGCTGTTATCCGGCGCACACAGAGATCGGTAGGTGCCGGATAACGGTTGTTTCTGGTTGCTTGAGGGCTAATGGTAATTAATTTTTTTTTTTTAGTGTGCATCCAAGTCGCCAACAAGAAAAAAAATTGAGGACATAAGTCCTCGATTTTGTTTTTGCCGGTCACTTGAGAGTGCTGATTGCTTGAATGCTGGATAATGGAGAGTTTACTGTAATGTGGTACTGAAGCACTCATGGCTCAGTATTGGTGAGTAGCAGGGCTTGCCCCTGTGGATAAAGGAGCCCTGTCCCCCCACAGAGTGTAACCTACTTCCTCTTCAGGGCTAATGTTTGTGTGCTGCAACACACTTGTAGGTTCCACAAAACTTTTTAGAATTGTCGTGTGCTTCTCACTATGGCTATGACACACTCTAAGTGCTGGAACACATTGAAGGGAATTCATCAAAACTGGAGCAGACAAAATCTGGAGCAGCTGTGCATGGCAACCAATCAGCTTCTCCTTTTCATTTTCAAATCATAACTGAACAAACTGAAGAGAAAAGCTGATTGGTTGCCATAGGCAACTGCTCCAGTTTTTGATAAATCTCCCCCATGCTGTTTTGTGCACACACACTTCCCAGGCATCTACTGCACTATGCCTGTGGGATCCAGCTGCCTTCTCACGGATGGTTATTAACTCTTCCTAATTAAGCATTTTAAATTGTGACTACCCATTGTGGGAACATCCTCACCTTACATTCTATTAGTATGGCTGATCATAAGCAAAACATTAGCAGCCTTCCCAGCTTATTATCCACTTCTCCACAGCTCTGGGGTAGCTTGCAGTGTACCTCATATAGGACCTGACACTGATAGCCCGCATCAGTATCCTCACACTGTCCACGGAGTCCTCTCTTGCAGAGACTTCTTTCAGATTTGGCTCAGGTCTCTGTTATGTACAGGCAGAAATTTCCTGCAACCGTGTGAGTTTTTGGGAAAAATTTTGGCCAGGTTACCTGACTCAGAATGCAGGGGTCGCAGGTGTGCTCCCACGCCTTTTCCTCCACAGTCCTACAGCGCTGACTGGAGGAACGGATGGGACAGGGGGCGGGTACAGCTGGCTCTGTCCTAGATAGGCAGAGCCAGCTGTCAATCACGCAGCTGGGTGGATCTCGACAGTAATGTCGGGATCCGTCCCGGCTGCGGCGATCTCGGTATACAGCAAGCTGTAGCTCGCGATATACTGAGCTTTGGGTCACGGGAGGACACTAATTTATGTCCTCCCGTGACACTTAGGAGTACTATGGGGAAAAACACTTACCCCATAGATCTCCTTTTAAGGATACTATTTTGGTCTTTGCTGCAGTCTGCAAATGTCTGTCGGCTGTCCCTGAAGTTACTATGCTGAGTTCACTTAAGTCCCAGCCAGTTTTTATAGTGATTGGCCTAATCCAGATAAAGTGGTAACTCCTCCCAATCAATATTCTCCATTGCAGGCCCTGCAACTTTTATTGCTGCCATGTCCATCTGTCAGACGCTGGGTGTTGAGTCCAAGGATATGTCTAGTGATCCTGGTTCTATCCCAAGTGGTCCTTCTGTCCTCCAAAACCTGGCACTCGTGTTGGTAGCCTTAGTGGACCCTGTGGCTCAAATGTTGGTCTGTAGAGCATACGTGCAAGAAACACATATTGCATATGCCCTCTGATAGGGTTCCCCTGTTTTTTGGCGCATCTCTAGACAACTTTATCAAGGTCATCTGATGAAAAAGCACCCTCTTCCCCAGCAAAAGAGCGATAAGGCTCGGTCTGGGAAATCCTCTACCTCTGAGCCTCTACCTCTGTAGAAGAGTTCCTTAAGCTTCTCCCAGGCCTACAAGGCCAGACCTGGAACTCTGTTCCACTGCAAGTTTCAGACTCCCAAATCCTCTAATCCTGCAAGCAAATCCTCCTCGCAATGAGGCGATACCCTTACTTACCAATGTGGGCGGATGTCTGTTAGCCTTTGCAGCCACCCGGTTTAGGATATTTTGGACACCTAGGTCCAAAACATCTAGGGGCTAATAGCTGGAGTTTCAGTTCCTGCCTCCTTCCCGCTTTTTCTCCTGCCAGCATTTTCTCAGAGATGAGCGGACCTCCAAGCCACTCTGACCGATCCTTTCTCATAAGGTAATATCCATTGTCCCAGAGGAAGAAAGGCTTCAAAGTTTCTATTCAAACCTGCTTACCGTGCTCAACAGAAAAGGGATTTTACAAATCCTGTTGCTTTCTAGGTGCTCATTAAGTGCACCTAGAAAGAAATGGTGTCCCTGACATTGCTTTGTTTATAAACAAAATTGTGTGATCACATGTCATAGCTGACATTGTGCCCACATGATCTGGAACTACGCTGATTGGTTCCTGATCATAATTGAAGAGCTGTCAGAATGCACAGAGCTGCATGCAGGTGAGCGTCAGTGTACAGATTGTAGATGAGAAAAGATTGACATACAACTTGGTACCATTGCAGTCTAAGAATAATTGTTAAAATCTTACATTTCTTTGTAGACCTCTCCATGTGGCTGCTAGGAATGGGTTAACGGTTGTAGTCCAGGAACTCTTAGGCAAAGGAGCAAGTGTATTGGCTGTAGATGAAAATGGTAAGTGTCTTTCCCTCTTTCATGTCAAGTCACTCTAGATGGAATCAAATCTAATTTAGAATATCCCAGTACTCTGTGACCTGCCTGTTATACACGGTTTAGTATTTGCACTTACTATGGTCAGCTTGGATACTGGCTGGTCCCGAAGTTTTCTGTACACGTGGGGATAAATTCAATTCATTCTACTCAATGGCGTCGCTATAGGGATGAATGTGATTTGTTCACTCATGTTTAGAAGACTCAGGTCTGTACGGGAGAAATCCAGTGCTGACTTTGCGGTTCCCTGTGAGCCATCCTACATGCATCTGCAGAATCCTGGACAGGTGAATATAAGACTTGTAACAGTCACGCAAAACAAAGTGATAATTTGGGGGTCTGATGAAATGATGGAAGCTTTCATGTAGAGGTGTCTACTGAACTTTTATTGAAATGAAAATATCCTGCTACTCTGTCCACCCCGCATCTCGAAGTCTGTAAAATACTATCTTTTACTGCAGAAGCTGTACCTGTGTGATCCCCGCAACAGCTAGTCATGTGACCACCATGTTGGAGACGTTCTCCAATATCTTCTGAAAGTTATAGCTAGAGTTCAGATGGAACTGTTGACTTAATAAATCTTCTTGACGTAGCTTGCTGGCAGCATTAAGATCATGTGACCAGCTTCCATGGGGTACTGGGGCAATGGTTTCTGCAGTCAAGGTACATTTTCTTTAGATTCTGTTAGCTGACAAGTGCAAAGAGAAAAAATCTTATGTGGCAATGGGTTTTTTTTGAGGGTTGTGTTGATGAACGATCAATGGTAATGTTGAAGTGCTAATGTTTTTCTTTCATTCATTCTTGCTTTCTCTGACTGCAGGCTACACACCAGCATTGGCATGTGCTCCCAATAAGGACGTTGCTGACTGTCTGGCCCTCATTTTAGCCACCATGATGCCGGTCTCATCATGCAGCACAATGCCATCTCTGACTTTAAACCACTACACCAATCCCTCAAAGACAGTCACATTTGACTCATTGCCCCTCGTGAGAAGCGAGCACAGTTCCTATTGCAGCTTCAACAATATCGGCAGGGAAGATGGCTATCCATACACAGAAGAAGATGAGCTTAATGACTCGGACTCTGAGACCTACTGAGGGTTCCATGGGAGTCCAGATTTTAAATAAATTCTCATTGTGCATCCAGAAAAAGTTCTCATCTTTGTGCTGCCGAGGTGGCCACAAATATGTAGGTTAACTTACCAAGTTTATAAGAAAAAGTGGGGTTTTTTTTTTTTTGTTCTTTACCGTTTTAACGTAAACACTGATGATTTGACTTTACTTTTATTTTAATCTGACCACTTTTTGTTGGATAAGAAACCTTTCTACACCCCAGTTAGTCTTCTGGAGGTTTGGAGCCTGTGATGAGAACTGTTCCCAGACAACACATAGCCCGGGATGGTTGAGGCCATTTAAGCAGTCATTACTGTTTTATTTAATATTTTATTGTCTTTGTGGAAAGAAACTTTTATATGGCAGGGCCTAGCAGTCCAGACAGCGGGTAACTTCAACCATTGTACAGAAAACACTATAGTAAACGTTGTATAAATTTAAAAAAAAAAAAGGTTTTTGATGGCAATAAATTAATTTGGTACATCTGGCATTGTGTGTACATCCGTTTTGCCAAAGGACCAAATAATGCAGTTTTTTTTTTGTTTTTTTAAAGTGGTTTGAATTGACTGGAAGCCGTTAATCAGTTATCTTCAGTTCTAAGTCTTGTTTCAGTTCATGCTGAAAAAATGTCAAAATATTTCTTTCTTTGATATTTTTTTTTCTTCCAGTGGCCATGCAGGAATAATAAAGAAAAAACTTCGACTCGGTTTCATTATTGCTTGTTAGCACCATGCTGTCATGAAAGATCATACAATATTGGGACTCAATCGCTACACATTTTCTGTAGCTGTGTTTTTTTGTTTTATTTTGATCTACCCCCTATTATAGAACACGGGGAAAAGGGCAGCCTGTGCCTTGGTGTGTATTAAAGTGTAATCCAGATTTATAAAGTCTTATAAATTTTTATAAAAATACCTTTTACCTACACGCAAGGAAATCCTATGTGTAGAATACAGAAAACATCACATGGGCTAGATTTTAATAGTCTTACAATTAGCTCAGGCCACATATCTTTAGAGCTTCTCAGTTACAGGTAGACTCCAACTTTTTTTTTTTTAATAGTTGGTATTTTAAGGCGTTTCAAAAAAAAAAGCTGAAATGTTATTTCTGACCTTTCCATCACCAGGACTGAAGAGCACAATTTAAACCATGGTTTGCAGCACCCTTTTAGGTAAAACCTGCCACTGCATCCTGACCATTCAGGTGCACTATATAGGTGTCATTATATCGTTTCCAGTCTTAAAGGTATTCTGCTATCATTTAATATAAATGAGCAGCCTGACTGTAACAATGTTCTCTGATGACCTTGGGTCTGGAAGTGCAACCTCTGTTGAGGTTCAATAAAATGCTAAATCTGCAGATCTGAGAGGGCTGCTGCACAGGAAGTATGTTCAGATTCCCTATATTCAAAGTTTATCCACTGGGAACAATATTGTTGATTCCTACACGAGGCGCTTAACCTACTTACCCAATGTAAATGCTAGCTTTCATTTGTCATGAAAACACCTTTAATAATAGCTTTATCACAGCAAAACATGTATATTTGTCACTATGGTCCATGTCTCTAATGGGAAGTTCGCCTTTTTCATAAATGTCACTGTAGTATGGATGTGGCCTGGCAGGTTGCTGATAACTGTGAAAGGCCTACACTAACTGGCTACCTGCTTTCAGAGCACGTGTGTGCAGTGTATATTTTTATTTTTCTGTATGAAATTTTCTAAAATGACCAAATTAACTGAAATGTATATATTTGTTGTAATAAAGCTATTTCTTTTTCAAATTTGATAGGTGATTTTTAGAATGAAAGGATTTATAGATCATATGGCGAGATGTTCAACAGAACAAAGCAGTACTTTATTTACCTAAATTATGATCTTATTGTGTTGGGGGGCTCAGTTTTAAAATGCCCATCTGTAGGGTAAACATTAACCAATCCTTGGAATCTGTCCAAAATAAAGACACCTGCTTGAGCACCCTCAGATTTGAAGGAGTAATTTTCTGATCACTGAATAGGCTTAGCTAGCTGTTCTGGAGCTAGTTTGTGGCCCAGGAGTGAGGAGTCTACGATTTAGTTGTCTTCTGGGATTTTCCTAGATGTAATTTGCTTTGTTTGCCATTTGAATGTGGTGGTCTGCTTTTACAACTTGAGCATTTTTCCAGAAGACCATCTTTCCAGCTGGGACAGGCTTTGAGTGGGTTCTCATTCTTCCTATTAACGCCTCATATCGGCAAATATCCTCAGGAATAGCACTAACAATGGGTCGGATTTAGCCTTGATTAAGGGTTAATACCACCAAATGGTTATAGACTAAACAATCGGAGTACAGATGTAGTAGAAATCTTTTTAAAGAACTGCACTAATAATTTCAGGTGAACTGTAGTAAAGATATCTGAAACTCTGCTGTCTTAAAAGAGTACCTGTCAATTTAGTTCCGTCACATAGAGTTGAGGGCCCAGCTACGTAGAGTTAGCCTCTTGCTGGCAAACACTTCAGTGAAGTTATTGGTCACAATTATTTCAATTGTTCATTAGAATGATATTAAAAGTTGCTTGTGTACTTTAGGACATGTTCATCTAAAGTGCAGAGTTATGTTTTTGTTGGGGTTTTTTTAGCCCTTAAATCGTACTTCAGTTTCACGCTGACAATACCAGTGTTAAACACAGATCTTAACACAACATTCCCAGACTGCAGCTGAAGAGTGCTTTAAGGTCTTCAAGAAAGCGATTTTAAGGTTTTTTTTTTAAGGATAGCAGCAGACCCATGTGAATTAGGTTTTGGAGAACGAAAGGATTAAGGCAGTGCAGTCGGTCTTCAGCTCTCTCCAGTCTTGGCATTGTTGTAACAGTCAGTCCATTTGTATGGTATGAATTTTACATGAATTCAATTTGTCTCAATTCAATGTCTCTGGAGTAAACTATGTATATGTATTAATGACTTTCTGAATGACCTTTTATACTGGATGGTACTATATGATGCACATGGCAATAACACCAGCATGTCTTCTAGCAAACCAATGTATGGCAAACGTCATCCATATATAGTTCACCTGTGTCCTGTGCTTTAGTTTGGTGGGAAGAGTGAGGAAGGATACCCAACAGAGGTCATTGATCTCTTTGTAGAGATGCAGTCTACACTAATGACAGCTGACCTGCACCGCTAGAAAGATGGCTTTAACCAGCATCTCCCAAGAGATTGTTACAATCTTTTTATTACAAGCCACATCCATTCAGGTGCCAAGGCTACAGATAAGGGTACTGATAAATGTACATGCTTGAAGATAAAATCTATACCGAGGAAGCATGGAGGCTGCCAATGGTTACCTTACCTTTTCAAAATACATGCTGTCCTTCTGCTCCAGTGTTGAGTACTTTGTCAGTCACTGCCTTCAGATATGTGAGTTTAGAATTTGTCTTCATTCTGGCTTTCCAGCTCTTCATGCTTAATCTGGGTAAGCCTTTTAGAAGGACTGAACCAAGACACAGCCAGGCAGCTGATATTTTTATAAGTAGAACAACACTAAATGTGCAGCAGTGGCTTGCATTAAATAGTTCAATAAACCACATCAAACCTGCATTTTCTTAATGTTTAAATATCGCCACTTTCTTAGTGTGATTCAGTCTCCTTTTTTTTTTTCATTCTTGATTTTGAACTTGGAATCTGTTCTCCACAAACTCTTGGAGTTTTAGGTTGTACCCACAACTGTCTATCAGATATTTTCCTTTAGACCTGGCATGTAGAGCATTGCCTATAGCAAGGGTTTGATCTTATTGGAAGTGCTGTATCTTGGAAGAAACAAATTCAGCTGCCATTGGGAACTTCTCCTGAAAATGTGAGTTGCCTGACTATCATGCTGATGGAGCTCAGGAAAGAGGAGGCTTTCAGCAAGCATTGGTGCGTGAGAGCTTACTTAAGCCTACTAAGGGCTTGATTAAAAATGCAGGTAGATCTTTAATTAACACTTCCAGCCATAATGAGGCAGAGGGTTCTATCTGAACCTGCATGTAGACTTTATAAATGATTTGTGTACACCAGACAGTTAGATCTAATGTTTCACAATCTAAAGTCAGTGTAAACTAAGCCTTGAGCAGTTAGGCTGAGACACCATGTGAATGTCATTATTTAATACTAGGTTTTTCAGTGTAGTTTGTTGATCAGACTTAATTGTTGGTGCAAAAAACTTTTTTTGGTTTCCAAGTAGCCAGCGGTCTTTCCTTTTATATATTTATATATATTTATATA